TGTGTGTGTATGTGTGTGTGTATATATATATATATATATACACACACACAATGTATGAAGACATAAAAATTATATTATCTCTAGGTATTCCTAAAATTACAAGTCTGACAAAGCATCGCAGCAATGACGGCAAACACAAAGTCTTGACGTGTGAGGCAGAAGGTTCACCTAAACCTGATGTACAGTGGAGTGTCAACGGAACTAACGTGAGTCACTATCACTGTCAGACTAAATATAGATCTGAATCTGATCTGATTTATATCATCATGTTGTAGACCAGGGGTGCCCAACCCTGCTCCCGGCGATCGACTGTCCTGCAAAGTTCAGCTCCAACCCTAATCAAACACACCTGAAGCAACTAATTAGGGTCTTCAGGATCACTTAAAAATTAAAGGCAGGTGTCTTTGATTAGAGTTGGAGCTAACCTTTGCAGGACAATCGATCACCAGGAGCAGGGTTGGGCACCCCTGTTGTAGACATTACTCTTGTCCCAAAAGAACCTTGCATCTTGTACTTCTTTATGCAAGAAGGAAAGATGCCCAGATATTTAACTCTGTTCTGGTCTAGACAAGATGAAAGGTGCACAGGTGTTTGAAGTCACAGGTTTTCAGCACCCAGAAGCGAAGAGCCAACTTTCAATTTACGTTAAAAAGGGAACAGATGTCCTGGGACGGAAATGTCTGGAATCGCACACAAAGAATTATTATTCGTCCTGTGTTCCACAGACTGACGGCTCTGGTATTTTGTTGCGAGCGACTTTGCCTTTGTTTCTGGATTTTTTATGACAAGAAGCGAATTTCCACAAAGGCACGTCTCGCCACCCTCCCAAACACATCTGAGGGGAGGTGATGACTATGCTTGAGTTTGTCCCATGAGTCACAGTGTTTTGGTTTTGTTACAGAGTGGTCTGACCGACACTCGTCTTTCTCTTTCACTCTCAGAGTACCACAGGCTCACCGTGATGCAAATACTCATGCAGTTAGCTCTTTTCTGCTTCTCAGTGTCTGGCCGGTCTCTGTGGATGCATTTAAAATAAATGATTTTAGATTTGGTGTTTTGTATTGGTTTGCTTCCAACAGGATTATAAAGTCACACCCTGTGTACAGTCATGGCCAAAAGTTTTGGCAGTGGCATCATTTTTTTTTTTTTTCAAGTTTGCTTCTTAAGCTGTTGTGGAGTTCATTCACATTGTTTCTAGATTATTGTGTAGATATTAGAATAGTATCTTAATGGCTGCTTATTTCTGGTATATTTTGCTTTGTGATCCTGTAGATCGCAGTGCTGGTATCAGTACGATTAGCTAACTCTATGCGCTCACTGTCTGCCTTAATGACACGGATATTGAAGTGTGTTACGAAGACTCATTTAGTGGCTGTGTGATTACTGACACACATTGCACTCGTTTTTCCCGACCCTGAGGTGTGTGTGTTTTCTGTGAGACTTTCCATTAGCGCGGGGTGTGGTGGTGGTGCTGGCTTTATGATAATAAATTAGCTGAGGATCATTAGCGCCGTCTAGTGGAGAGGTGTATTAAATAGCGCCTTAAGCAAACGGGTCCGATAGATAAACCATAGTCTTGCTGACTCTTGCTTATTTGTATTTTTCATATAAAGTTAATAATCTGTTTAAGGCAAGAATGGATCTCCATCAGTCAGGATTTGTCCCAGAAGCTAATATCCAGCATGCCAGAGTAAATTGCAGAGGTTATTAAGAACAAGGGTCAACACTGTAAATATTGACTCATTATATGAGTAAAATCCAAAACATGCGAGTTAGTCTTCCTAGTGTTATTACACGTTTAGTTTACTGTTGTACATTACACAATACAGCTGTATAAAATAATCTTTAAAACAATATGTACTTTCAAAGAAACAGTAATTAATCAAACAGTAAAACTAAAAAAAAAACATATTTTGATTAATTTGATATCAATTCTTACACGCTTCTCCTAATTTCAGACAACTGAATTTTGAATGATATGTAGTTATGTTTTACCTTACTGTGAAAATTGATTTTATTTTAAATATGTTAATAAAATCTGAAATAGATTTTAAAAAATACACTTAAAAGACTGGAGTAGCTAATGGCTGTAGACCATCATAGGAATAAATATATTAAAATAGAAAACATTTATTTTAAATTGTTTTAATATTTCACAATATTATTGCTTTTACTGTATTTTTGATCAAATAAATGC